TTGACATGGCTACAATCATGGCATCGAAGCACGCCTGATTTGCCCAAACCGATTTGGGGACAAGAGGCAATTTTTCACCGAGCACAGTCAAGACATGAAATGAAACTTGGAAGAGGTCGTGCAAACATTACCTCGGGATGGAAGAAAATCTCAGGCCCGAGGAAACGTTCGTAGCCAATATCGATGGTGAACTCAGGAAATTTGGGGGTTGCAGGCATCGTGTGCTTTCGGATCCATTTGTCTGGTTCATTGTCATACCTGGAGAATTCTTTAGCAATATCCTGACAGACTGCCGAATATCTGAAACGAGGAAATATGCGATGAAATTGGCACAAAATGAGCCCAGAAAGATCAAGAAATAGACCATTTTAAAGAGATACAATAGGGTAGACAAGCATTCATGAACCGCCTGATGTGCTTTATTTCGCGCGAAAGTGTTGCTGTGTGTTTGTTTGGCCCACCAACAAGTTTACATTCGTCTGTCAGATCAGTCGACAATCAATAGTTCTGATCGAAAATCGCAGGATAACGCGAAATTACGAAGATTAACTGGTTTTATACATTCACCACGGTGACAAGAACAACCAAAATAACTGGTTATAAAACCAAGGTTGGTATAATTTGATCAGCTGCTTGTAGGATAGGGTGTGTCCCAGTCTAAGCTCTTCATAGTTTAGGAACCCTAGGCATGGCATGACTGTGATTATGTAGTCTCAAGGCGTTTGGCGAGAAATAGAGAGAATCTAATCGGTAGAAGCGCTAAAGAATAGTAAAAAGTGGATTAAATATCATAAAAAAACGATGTATATATTGATATAAATATAAATAAATAAATACATAAATAGATATATATAAAAAAAAAATATATATATATATAATAAAGCAAAAGATTCCTCGAAGCCCAACTCTTATTCGCACAGTCACATACAACCCATCGAGCAGCAAGTTCCCGGTACGGCTGAACTCTGCTCTGGTGACGGACACACAAACAGGCAACGCCTGGACATACGTCTACAGGCTGAAATGGTGCATTTTCACGTCGGGCAATTCAATCATTCAATCGTCCTTGGGCAGTTTAAGCATTCTGTTGCTAAGGGAACGGCCGAAAATGCATTCAATCAGTCAACAGTGAAATGTCGGAAGAACAAATGAAGTCGCTGCAATTACATGAAAAAGTTGCGAGTCCGAGGTCATGTCAAGCCCACACAACGAAAAGCCACACGATTGCTGTACCTACGATAAACAAAGATGGCCCGATGCCTTGATGCCAACAGCTATAGCCTATAAGAGGCGAACAAACAGTCAAAACTTGGCTGACGAGTGTTTTAGTTGAGTTGACAACCGTTCTATCAGCCTGGCTGACGCTCTGTCCATCCGGGCCGAGTTTGGATGGTAGTTTGGCGAGCAGGCGAACTCGTCCTAATAGTCGATCACCAGGGCCTGAAGAAGGAATCAAGCTGAGCGATGAGAGGAACAGTAAATGATAATGATAATGATGATGAGGGAATTTTCGACTCGCCCAACATCAAATCGACAATGCTAGATTCTTGCTTGAGGCCCCGGCCCTTGAGTTCTCCACAGTTTGAGCAGAGAAGATTTGGTGTCGCTGTGAGACATTACATTGTCTCCTCAAGATGACCCAAATGCGCAAAAAATTGATAAGAATGCTGTGTTAGCCAGAAATGTTGGTATTGTAAACAAAAACCCCGAAAAGTCAAGAATTAGCAGGACTCGACTAAACTGTCGGTCGGATTCGGATCAAGTGTTCTCTAAGCTGTCATACAAGTTAGGCTAACTCGTTTTGAGGGGACCAACTGACCTCTCTTTAATCACTTTGGCCGTCTCCATGCTACGCTCCGGTGGTATGTTGGTTTCGCGGTCACGTAGAAGCTGTTGTATGAAGCCGGTGATGTCCCGACCGGCGATCGGAATGTGCTTGATGCAGGAGCCGATTACATAACCCTCGACCACAGGGATCACATGAGTAACACCATCGCCGGAATCAATCACAGTGCCGGTATAAGTGCGCATGTTGCCTGACACCCAAGAAGCAGCTAACGCCAGCACAGCCTAAAGTGGATACAAGTAAAATTTAAGTAGTGTGATAATATGCCCAGAGGAAAATTAATCAAAAATGCTATCATGAACAGCAAGCCAATCCCGGATTCGAAAAGAAGGCGACTCAATTTGTCTGCTCAATGATGTTTATAATTTCACTCAAATTCACCCCAAATA